TATCGATGTTAAAACTATACATCGTGGAGACCTACTTTTGCTTGCTGACATGATTTCCCTCTCAATCCTGTATCTGATATTGATGTCTTAAACCACACAACATGCACACAAACACACAGACACACTGCAGCAGGTAGGGACAGTTGGACTCACCTCTGGGTGACTTTATTGGTGAAAGCCTGTGTATTAGGAGTGTCACAGACTGGGCAATGCATTGAGTGCTTCTCAGCGCACTGCAGTGATTTCCCACTATTATTAGCTTAGGAACAGCAAAGCCTCTTAGGGCTCTTTATTTAACCAGATAGCCAGTCTGATGTGGATCTGAACAGCAGGCAACACTGAGACTCCTCTCCTCATACTGCAGATCAGTTGTACTTTCCTCATCATAGATTATATTATACGGCATGCCATATTAGTCATGATTCTACACTTTTGCAGTTTCCCCCATTTTCTTCCAGCAGATGGTTCTGGGTTGATCTGGGTCAGGTTTTCTCTCACTGACGTTCCCAGCAGATGTAAGGTAGCAGGAACTGTGTGTGTGTGTGTGTACAAGGCAACAATCATCTTCAAGTATGCAATGTATTTGTACTGCACACAGATAAAATACGACAAAGTTTGGGGTTCAGTAAGATTTTTTTTTTTTTTTAAAGAAATTAATACTTTTATTCAGCAAGGATACACTAAATTGATTGAGAGGTTCTGTAATACATTTAACAAAATATTATACAACTTATCTAATGTACAAGATCTATTTCAAATAAATGCTGTTTTTTTTATTAACTTTCGATTCATCAAATAATCCTGAAGAAACGTATCATGGTTTTTACAGAAATATTAAGCGGCTCTTTGATAATAATATATATTTGCCATCACATGAATAAATTCAGAGCACTTACAGTAATCGCTGCTGGTTTTCCACACTTTTCCACTTTTAGATGATGCAGATGTCACAATCACATTACAGTATTTATCTTTATCATGTGAGCTGAGGGCCAGTGGATGCCCATACTGCTTTCATCATGATATTCATTAGCTCCGCTAGGGAGTCTGAAAGGTCTTTTGGGGAACAAGCCGTTCTTGGAGAGGTAGTTGTGTTGCTCATCACTCATTTTCTGTTAGTCTGTTTTCTCTTTCTCTCTCTCTCTCTCTCTCTCTCTCTCTCTCTCTCTCTCTCTCTCTCTCTCTCTCTCTCTCTCTCTCTCTCTCTCTCTCTCTCTCTCTCTCTCTCTCTCTCTCTCTCGCTCTCTCTCTCTCTCTCTCTCTCTCTCGCTCTCTCTCTCTCTCTCTCTCTCTCTATATATATATATATATATATATACACACAAACACATATAATATATCTTTGTACAAATTAAAAAGCGTGTAAATGGTTTGAACTGACTCAATGCTCTATTGGTGAGTCTTCAAAGCTGTAATTAAGAGCTTTGTAGAACATCTAGAAAACTGAGGAAGGCCTAACAGCATATTTACTTTTAGCCTGACGCAAATGCTTTTGTTCTTACAAATAATGTGCTGAGAAGAAGCATAGGCTGTCTGCTCCCTTCCTTCACATACCTCTACTTTGAGAAGCAGGGTAGGGACTATCTCACCACATTTTCTGTTTCAGATCATATAGGTCATAAACGGGGACTTCTGTCATCTGAAATTGTATGATCGTCATGTTTTTTAATGCATTATACTTTCTAAAAGGGTGTTCAATGAATAGACTATTGTAATGTTTTATAACTGTGGTTATAATTATTGCTGAGATCATACATGCATTATAAGGTGCATTAAAAATAAAAGTGTTAGTAAAGTGTTACCCTATTATTGTTGTTGTTGTTATTTTTATTATTATTACAAAACCAAAATATTTTATACTGATTGGCTAGGCTATAGAAAGGATTGAATGACTACAAATTTCTGATGAAACGGGACCTGGTGAAAGCCAAAAGATCCAGCTCTCTGTGGGGCATTTTAGAGCGAGGCTGAAACACTTACAACTAAATAAAAATTAATTTCTATGTCCATTTTATATTGAAGCACACCCATAGCATTACAATACATGTCTCAAGCATCTCTTTACATGTCCGATCTGAGCCTTATATCAGACTCAAATCATCAGCCTGCTTTTTCACTGCTCCCAATGCTCAGCTTTTAGTGCCTTTTTTCTCCTTTATTTTATCCCTCCATGACCATTGCATTTATTCATAGCGTTATGCTAATGAACTGGCAGTCAGCGTATGGTGGATTAATCAAAGCCTCCTTTGCAGCAAAAATGAATGAAATTTCAGAATGAAATTGTGAGTAAAAGAAAACATGGGTTTTGCCTTTGCCGATTATCTCTTGGATTGGAAGATCGCTGTAGTAGAATGTTATTCTGAACATGTTTTAGTTCTTATACTGCAGTGTGTGTGTCAGACTGATAGACTGAACTCCCAGTGGTCTGTTTCCCGCGGGGTCAGAGTTCACAGTTGGATTGGCATGTTGAGTCTTGTGTGACATGTAGGTTTGTCCCCCTTCCTGTCTCTCTAGCTCTGTCATCACAAATAGGCATGTCTTATGACAGGGAGTGTGTGGAGCATCTATAAATAAATTGATCAGATGGAGAGGAATAGAGAGATGAGAAATGGGGTAGAAAAACATAAAAGAGAGAAAAATAAAACTGAGTCAGTCAGTCAAAAGAGAATAGAGAGAAAGAGTGAGAGAAAAGTCATGATGACTTCATTTACATTCATTACATGCATGTATTAAGCTAATGCTTTTCTCCCAAAGCAGGATACCAGTGGGGAATCAAGATAATATTTAAAGGAGCTGTATGTAAGATTGTGGCCAAAACTAGTACTGCAATCACTTTGAAATTACTGTAGAGTGGTGTATCCCCTCCCCCTCCTCCCTGACTCGAGGTTGCCAGATCGGCTGCAGGATCCAGCAGGAACGTGATGAGCTGCAGCTGTGGTAATTGAGCAGAGCTGGCAACCCGGATGTCGCAACACTACTGACTTCGTGATTGGTAGATAGGTGGAGGGTGGAGCATCAGACCAAAACACAACATGACAACATCAACATCAGTTGAGGGCTGCAACTGCACTTTTTAAATGACAATATCCTGGCCAGACTACTGTTGTCAGTGATATAAGTATTTGAAATAAACATGATTTCTTAATGTCTAGTGACATTTCAGGGCCATTTTATGATTAATTGAAATACATTTCTTACATACAGCTCCTTTAACAAGACCTGATTGCGTTGCATTGTGAAATCGCAACGCTGTTTCTTTGACTCTGTAGGGCTGAATGCAGCTTGTAGAAACACATCTCACTGACTGCTCACTGCTGTCTGGCCCTGTCAGGTTCCCTCTGCCCAGTCACTGGAAGCTCATCAATAACCTTTAATAGACCACAGGCACAATATGCTCTGTGGGTGTGTGTCTGTACAGTATTAGAGCATAATAGCCATCTGTGTGTGTGTGTGTGTGTGTGTGTGTGTGTGTGTGTGTGTGTGTGTGTGTGTGTGTGTGTGTGTGTGTGTGTGTGTGTGTGTGTGTGTGTGTGTGTGTGTGTGTGTGTGTGTGTGTGTGTGTGTGTGTGTGTGTGTGTGTGCGAGCTGGCGTTATTAATAAGGTCGGTCTATGTGGTGACAGGCCGAAGCATACGCCTATGTGCGAATTTGTTTTCCGTGTGTTTTTTGCGCACGTACTGAGATAGATGACATGTGCACGGGTTATTCCTCTCTGGATTTGAGCCCATCTGTCACCCCACCCAAAATTCTCCCCATTGACTAACCCACCGGCTCTGTCTCATTATATCCGCTTCTAAATGGATCAGACTCTATGGATCTCTCTCTCTCTCTCTCTCTCTCTCTCTCTCTCTCTCTCTCTCTCTCTCTCTCTGTTCTTCTCACCCCTTCCCCTTGCGCTGATACTGAGATATCAGTACCGTTTGTGCCATAACACTCTTATTGTTAACCTGTTGCTAGTGTTGTAGTGTCTACAGATTCCCCAGTGGCTTGTTTGCAACTAGCCCAAGTCTTTCCTTTTCAAGGCTATCAGAACAGCAGTCCAATAAAGGAGAGAGAGAGAGGAGAGAAAATAGCCTGTTCTCTTTCATCTCCCTTATCAGTAGACAGACGCAGACCTTGAAGTGCCTCAATAGACAGTAATTATTTATGTGTTAGTTATACAAGCAATTACACTGTAAACTTCGGTAAACGTTATGCAGTTTCTGTGAGTGACTTCTTTCATGCACACTTCCTGTCTATGCTGGTACTGAGTACCATAGTTCTGGTTTTCAGGCCCTAATGTCCATAAAACTGTATCACTGCATTGCCACTGAAAAGGGGTGCAGGAAACTACAATGACATTTTTTTACTGGTCAACAATCATATCACCCACCTCTTGTGTAAATATAAGCCATTTTTACTTTTTAATATTTAATATTTTGCATTTAATATTTTTTTATATGTATGTGACAGTTAAGTATATGGGACATTAAAGGCCTGTTCACTGCAACTCAAATGTTCTGCACAAAAATTTGGTTTTGATTTTTGCATGCGATCTGTCTGTTTAGACTTATGCGACAAAAATCTTTTGCAGACGGACTGAAAGACAATGCAAATTCACTCTCTGACAGTAGGTAGCACAAATAGAAAAGCAGAAATACAGCCCTTTACAAGGGCAGCAGTGCACAGCTTTATGTTTCTAACACCCGCTTGTCATGAAGAAGAAAGGAAGTCAAATAGTATTTACATGTTTTTTAACAGCCCTTCAGATTGTTGTATTAATTATGGTGTTGATGAAGCAACGGCAAATACAAGAGTACAAAGACAAACAAGCCGGTTCCAGACTCTTCCTCTGCTTTTCATTGTTACTAAGCAAAATAGTCTGTTTGTGAGCACCACCAAGTCATAGTTTTTGCAGCTGCAGCTGCTCTGGGCATGTAGCTTTTTCCACAGTCTGTAAAAAACTGTTGCATTGACATCATGTATTGTTTTTGATTTGTGTTGTTTTGTTTTATTTTCAGATCTAGAAACGGATGATAACACCTCATTTTACATCCTCAATGTTGGCCAACCTCCTTTACTGGTGAACCAATCACACGGTCTCCAGCGGCATGGATGCCCGCCCCCAGCCCAACTCATTGCCACCTCCCCCTCCCTGCAGGCCCACCAAAAGACCTATGAGCAAAGCTATGAGCATCAGGACTCTAAATACACGTCCACAGGGATGGGTGGAGGAGGGAACGGCCCACCAAAGGCCTTTGAATGTCCCAGCATCCAGATCACCTCCATTTCCCCAAGCTGCCAGCAGGAGATGGAGGCCAGCGACGATGAGATGAGAGCAAAGGGTCCGGATGGAGACTACCACGACAGACCTCTGTCTCGAGACCACCTATACCTGCCTCTAGATCATTCGTATCGAGATTCGTCCCTGAGCCCGAGTCCATGTAGCAGCCTTTCCTCACGAAGCTGGTTCTCAGACGCATCGTCCTGCGAATCCATCTCACATGTGTACGATGATGTGGATTCGGAACTAAATGAAGCAGCGGCGCGTTTTACCCTGGGCTCACCGCTCACTTCGCCTGGCTGCTCTCCGCAGGCTGGACCACAGGACGAAGTATGGCAACAGCAGCAGCAGCATCATCATCATCACCAGGCCTTCACTCACTCCCTTTCTCATTCACACGGCCATTCTCTCTCGCCCCGCCAGTCGCCCTGTCATTCGCCCCGTAACAGCGTCACAGATGAGAACTGGCTGAGCCCACGTTCACCTTCACGGCCCTCTTCGCGCCCGACATCGCCCTGTGGGAAGAGACGCCACTCCAGCGCTGATATATGCTGCCTGGGCTCTTTATCACCCCATCACTCCCCGACTGCCACTCCCGGCCCCTCTCCCAGGGGCAGCGTGACTGAAGACACCTGGATAGGAAGCCCATCCATGGGTATGTCCCCTTTCCAATGTTGTCCCTCTGAGGCTGACATCCCCTCCAAGACCAGGAAGACCTCCCAGGACTGTACAGCAGCAATCCAGCCAGGGAAGGGCGACGTGGGCATGGATGATTCTGGGAATGTATCTCCTTTGCTTGACTCACCTGGTGAGGATGCCATGCACGGATTAAAGAAGGATGGATCTGGAGAGCAGTTTCTTGCTGTCCCATCTCACTTCACATGGAACAAACCCAAACCAGGACACACACCTATTTTCAGGTAAACCCCCTCCTCTGCTTTGAAGAGACACAAGTAAGAGTAACCATTATAGAGTTCAGGTATAAAGCTCTATAATGCTTCTTTCTTACAGGTGTTCATGTGTGTAGACATTAGCTCTTTTCTCAAAACTTAGAGGGTTGTATGCTACATTGTCAGTGGCCTTGTAAGGCAGCATCTAAACTGACAGAGAACATCATGTGACTGATTTGGCAGTAACTTTTTTTTAATGGTCAGTCACATGCACAAATAGGCTAGTGCTCATTACACGCATAGGAGACTCAACTTTCAGTTAGACATGGCCGATACCAATAGTTATTTTTGTTTTATCTTATGTCTAATAAGCAATAAATGGCAGATATTAAAAAATCGTATAATATTTGGACTAAATAAATAAATAAATAAAACAAAACACACAAAATCTGTAATTTTAAATGCTACAAGTCATTTAAGGCATCACAACTATATAAAATACAATAAGTATGGATAATCATTATGAGATTTGCTAATGATTACATTTAACAGTGTTTTTAAATATTAACTCTGAGTGTTTGATGATGGCAAAGGAAATCCAAATGTAAAAATATGGGGGATTTCAATACCGATAAATTTATATGAACTAAAAGAAAAATTTATAATGATTAATCACTCCTAACATTTAGAATTTGGAATCATAAGTACACAGATGTTGAATCATAACAAAACACTATGTTGTTGTGGAAACAACATAAAGACTGTATTTAAAATATCTGACATTAGCATTTACTTCAGGGAGTGAAAATATGGATACTGCGTTAATTATTTCTAACATGTTAGACAGCAAATATTAATCTTTGGCGCCAACTCGTTATTTTTCCTTCAGCCCTAATTAAAATATTTTTAATATCAGCTGATAACTGGTGTTGTACCTTTATATTGTGCATCCTTACCCCAACAGAGTTTAGCTTGTTGCTAAGCTAAAAATGCAATATTATAAGCACAAAAATCACACAGGGCATATAAAAATACTGACTATGGAAATAGCCAACTTTTAAATAGAGCTACAGCTGTTTTTAGGACAAAACAACATTAAGACATTCTTCAGTATATTATCTTTTATGTTCCACAGTAGAAAGTCAGAATGACATGAGGATGAGTACGGTAAATGATCCCTTTAAACGTGGAGAACATATGTGATGCTGCTTTCTAATTTGGCCAAAAACAATCTTAGAAGGCAGCATGATTATCCCTTTATTTCAGAAGCATGTCAGTGATGGCTTCCAAAAATTTCTAGGTATGTAGCGCACTACATTTAGAACAGAGCTAACCCTCTGGTATTGTTCATTTGGGAGTCATGCTTGTGGTGTTCACGTTCAAAAGTGGCCGAATTGCTGAAACATAACTTTTTTTATTTTCAGTAAAATCAATGTAATATGTATTATAATATCAATGTAATGTTCAATAATATTTTCCTTTTTTTATTTTAAGAGAATTTTGTTAATAATAATAATAATAATATTTATGCAATAATTATGGACAGTTTTTTCCCATTGTAAATAATACGAAATAATTGTAAAAAATATGTATTTTTTCATGTTAAAATAGTCCTTTAAAATCCAATTTTTGAAGGCAGATTAGTGTCATTTGGTGGTAGCAAAAAAATGAAAAAATCCTATAGATTCTTATATAGCCTAGCTATACGTTTATAAAGGGGCTTGTACATTCTATAATTGATTTAAACATAAAACCTTACTTTTATTAGGTTGAGGATTTTGCTATATATTTAGATATTTCTCAAATACTAGGTTTTTGAAATGTTGATTTGAGGTGTCAGTTTTTCCATTAATTTTTCTACAGTTAAACCGGAACACAGAAAGACATTTTGTTACATATAACATCAAAATTCAATAAAAATGTAACAAATCTAAAAGGAATTCTTTATCAGAGATTGTGTAGCCTAAGTGTGTGTAAGGGAGTGTGTGTTTTGTACTCTTGATGTTTTCTAGTGTAACCCCTTCCTTGATGTCTGTTTTTTTTACTGCATTGTGACTAAATTATTGATTTTATTTCACACATTTGCAAGAACTTGCTTTGTGTTACAGTCACACCAGTTCATTTGGGATTGGGGTGGGTGGAGTGAGTCTATTTTGCACTCTTGATATTTTAGAGTGTCACCCCTTCACTGCTGTGTACTTTTTTTGGCATTTGTGGCTGATTTGTAAAAATGTTTCATAATTTTCTATTTCCCATTAATAACACTTACACAAGTATGACTATTTTTTTTTACAACCATTTAGCTTTTTTGAATCAAGTGTACTTTTTTTTTTTTTTTTTGTCCCATAGTGACTGCCACAAAAGTCACCGAGCTTCGTACCATTCCGATGAAGTAGCTATTTTAAAAAATTCGAAACGTTTTTTTTTACAAAGCATGTAGAAGTCTGTAATTTTTATCATAGGTACTCGTCAACTGTGAGTGACGGAATCTAAAACAAAAATCCAGAAAATCACATTGTATGATTTTTAAGTAATTCATTTGCATTTTATTGTATGACATATTTGATACATCAGAAAAGCAGACCTTAATATTTGGTACAGAAACCTTTATTTGCAATTACAGAGATCATATGTGTCCTGTAGTTCTTGACCAGGTTTGCACACACTGCAGCAGGGATTTTGGCCCACTCCTCCATACAGACCTTCTCCAGATCCTTCAGGTTTCAGGGCTGTCGCTGGTAGAGGTCGACCGATAGTGGATTTTACCGATACCGATATCTAGGTTTGACCGTACATGCCGATAACCGATAATTCAACCGATATTTTTTTTAATGGATACTGGATTAAAAACAAACATCATACTCACAATAAAACAGTGCTGAACTGAAATGTGCTCAATTAAATAAATAAATATGAATATATTAACTTTATACAGAAAATAATTTAAACATTAAAATATTACAGGTTTCGTTAGCTATAACCTAGAAACATATGTACATTTCATAGGTAACACTTTGCAAGTCCCATTTGTAAACAAGGATGTATTAACTAGCTTTCATGAATTATATGCATAATGCAATATACCTTTTTACTGCATGTATTAATATGAGCAATACAATTGTACCTTTATCATTCATGTTAGTTCATTCACAGTACATTAACTAAGGTAATAAAAGATAAAATAAGAATTAAAACTCAATTTCAAATGCATTAGTAAATGTTGATATTAACAAACTACCGTAACAATGAATAATTCTTCTACAACTTGTATTAACCTTATTTAATGCTAAAAATGCAATGTTATTGTAAAGTGTTACCATTTCATATGATTCCAAAGAGTCGTGCTTAAAGATGGCCATTAAAATGTAATAAAGACCTGTATTATGTATACGTAATATAGCCTATAGTCTCTCACTTTATTTGCTTCTATATTTTAGAACACTTGATGATTATCTAATCAAAAATAACAAGATCTATTGTAGTGATTAAAAAGATCTTAAATCGAACGCGTTTCTGATTAGTTTACGTTTCTGTCGGCTGCATGAACATATCAATGTTGAGAAAGCAATCACGTCACTAGTTTTAAATATGCAACTTCGTCGGCTAATGAACGCATAAAAGTGACCAGCCGGATAAAAATAATGCAAATAGATTGTAACAATTGCGCCATAAAACATTTGGGTCAGGTCTGCGTGTGTTTTTGTCACATTGCATTAACGGTTGACTGAGGTAATGTTAGAGTCCTCACAGCCTCGACGGCAAACTACTGTTCTTTCTCTGCTGATGCAGCATCTAGTCAACAAATGAATTAATTTGTAATGATATGGCAATATGTAGCTACTTTAGTGTTATGTATTCATACCGTTTTGCTGTCGGTGTTGCGCTCTCGCTGCGTGTTCTCTCCATGCTGCGCGCTGCCTCACGTGTTAACGTAAACAACTCAGCCAGTGATAGTTTGTTATTTGTCCTCTAGAGGCCGCTCTCACTCTGTATAATGCCAGCAGTCTCTTCTATTCTGAGCGCTCTCGTGCTGTGTAATGACCGCGCGCACTTCTCAGCCGCTCCAGCAACGGACGCAACCCGGAAAAACTATCGGTGTGGATTTTTGCCGATAACGATAGTTCCACCAAACAACTATCGGTGCCGATTAATCGGCAAAACCGATGAATCGGTCGACCTCTAGTCGCTGGGCAATATGGACTTTCAGCTCCCTCTAAAGATTTTCTATTGGGTTCAGGTCTGGAGACTGGCTAAACCACTCCAGGACCTTGAGATGCTTCTTACGGAGCCACTCCTTAGTTGCCCTGGCTGTGTGTTTCGGGTCGTTGTCATGCTGGAAGACCCAGCCACGACCCATCTTCAATGCTCTTACTGAGGGAAGGAGGTTGTTGGCCAAGATCTCGCGATACATGGCCCCATCCATCCTCCCCTCAATACGGTGCAGTCGTCCTGTCCCCTTTGCAGAAAAGCATCCCCAAAGAATGATGTTTCCACCTCCATGCTTCATGGTTGGGATGGTGTTCTTGGGGTTGTACTCATCCTTCTTCTTCCTCCAAACACGGCGAGTGGAGTTTAGACCAAAAAGCTCTATTTTTGTCTCCTCAGACCACATGACCTTCTCCCATTCCTCCTCTGGATCATCCAGATGGTCATTGGCAAACTTCAGACGGGCCTGGACATGTGCTGGCTTGAGCAGGGGGACCTTGCGTGCGCTGCAGGATTTTAATCCATGACGGCGTAGTGTGTTACTAACGGTTTTCTTTGAGACCATGGTCCCAGCTCTCTTCAGGTCATTGACCAGGTCCTGCTGTGTAGTTCTGGGCTGATCCCTCACCTTTCTCATGATCATTGATGCCCCACGAGGTTGCATGGAGCCCCAGACCGAGGGAGATTGATCGTCATCTTGAACTTCTTCCATTTTCTAATGATTGCGCCAACTGTTGTTGCCTTCTCACCAAGCTGCTTGCCTATTGTCCTGTAGCCCATCCCAGTCTTGTGCAGGTCTACAATTTTATCTGATGTCCTTACAC